AAAATTAAACACAAAAACCAATTACCTAAAAATAAATATGTAGAAAATATATCATCAATTTTAAAAATTAATTTAAAACGTTTTAACTTTAAGAATTTACATTTGAAAAAATATAAATTAATGAAATATAATTAAGATATAAGCCTCTGGCTTATAATATAATATAATAATATTATAATATTATTATATAATTATGGAATTAGGATTACCCTTGCCCTACAGACAGTGCATAGGCTATGTCTAGCCCTTGGCCTGAGGGTATATTTTTTTTAGATTGTTTGTAGTAGCCTAGCCTACAAACTAGCATCTAGCCTAGGCCTGCTAGAGTAGTAGAACTGCCTAGACTAAGAGTAGGCCTATTACCCCTAGCCAGTGCAGGCCTAGGCCCTAGGCTAGGCCAATGGCTAGGTCATACTTAATAGTACTACTGCAAAGATTTCTTGATTGCACAGAGCCTAGGATAGGCATAGGCATACAGTATCTCAAAAATCAGCTCAAATTTCGCTAGAAAATAGGTGCGCGGAATCGTAAATTGCTGCATAATTTAAAGCAATTGCATCATTTTAGGCCGGATTTTGGGCTCATTGGATAGGCCTAATAGGCTATATTATACTATATTATTATATTAATTATATTATTAAACCTAGGATATAGGGCCTAGGTTTGGTCAAAAGCATAATTTTTGGCAAAATCTGCGCGGAACTTAATTTTCGAAATGCGCCGACGGATTTCTTCTAGGCCTAGGCTCTATGTCACATTTTTGTGCGCCGGATATAGGCAATTCTCCGCGCAGGCCACTACTACTACTACTACTACTACGGTACAACAACAGTCTGGCATAGGGGCCTAGGCCATTATTATTATTATTATTATTATTATTATTGTATACTTATATAGCGCATATCAAACTTCTCTATGCGCTGAACATTACTACCCCGGATCACTGGATCAAGCACATATGGAACACACACTCAAGCCCCATAGGGGAATTCCATAATGTTGCAGCTGTATTCAGCGCAGGCTGTGTTTGAACCTACCAGGTACCCACTTTTACTCCTGGGTGGAGAGAGACAACCGTAGATAAAGTGCCTTGCCCAAGGACACAAGCGACTTGCACAGCGAGAGTTTTGAACCCCCGACCTCGAGGTTGGGAGTCCAAACCACAACCAATGCTCCAACCACTTCTATCCATGCCTCTTTCTACACAGAATCTAGACCTAAATTAGAGTAAAATAATTTAACGTGAATATTCAGAAGAATACAGTGTTATTGTGTACATACCTTCAAACACAATCCAATAAAAAAACGAAAAAAATCAATTAAAATCTTCATTTTTGTTCAACATCATCGAGACACAGAAAATGGCGACACTAAACTTTTTTCTCGAATAACGCGGGCTCTCCCATTATGCTTTGTGATAGGATAATTTATGGATGGGTTATTTTAACTCTAGTGCCATTATGCATTACGATAGGATCAACTTTCTGTCTGTGGATGGGTTAATTTAACTCTGCTATAATTCATGCGATAGGATCAATTTAACTCTCTGTGGATGGGTTCATAGCAGGTCGAGGTCCATGAAAAGTCGTATATAAAGATGTGGGTTACCCACATCTTTATAATCACACAAGTAATTAAAATTGTTTATTCACAGATTAATCTCACTGATAAATTCTACTATATTTGGCTGGTGCATATGAACTTCTATTTAAAGACATAATTTCACTATTTTCTTTCCAAAAATATTATTAAACATTAACTAGCACCTCATAACGACTTTTGAATGATAAAAATCGGCTCGGTATAACACATTTTACCGAGTACGAAATTTAAGTTAGTGGAACATACTGCTGTTACATCCTGATGATGACATAATTAATGTCGAAATATTGAATCCCAACACGATGGCGTGTATTTCAATACTTGGAGTATGCTTTCTTATCTGAGATTAATCAGTGGACCTTTCGGTTACTGCTGTTACATCTAATTTTACCCCGCCGTTGTATTTAGGTACACGCTACAGTGCACACAATGAGCCAACAATTTGGATAGCAGAGTTCCGCATGAGTGATTCACCCCACATCTTTATATGTTTGAGTTAACGCATGAATGGTTTCATGGACCTTCTCAGGACTTTTTTCCTAACCCACATCTTTATAATCTACTTTTGCTGAGAGTTCCGCTTGAACAATTCCGTGGAGCTTTTGGTTTCTGCGCATGACATGTTTCCAATGGGGATTTATCTGTTGAGCATAATCTCTAAAGAGAAGCCCTGGCAGCTAGCTGACTATGAATTTTTTTGTTTTATTATTTTAAGCTTTAAATCGCTGGCAGCTAGCTATTGAAGCCTAGTCTTGCTTATTTTGTATTGTCTGTTTTTGTTTTTGTCCTAAAATAAATAAAAGAAATAATTTTTGTGAAAATTTGAATTGTTTCTTTTGTATGTCAAATTATATATAAAAAAATTTTTGGTAGTTAAAAAAGCTTCTCCAAAAACATGTAAACAAACATTAAAGAAAAATATACTGCAATCCATGCAGCCTTTCTGGAACTTATTGTTTAGAGACGCCATGTACAAACAAAGCAACAAGTTTCAGGTTCTAAATTTCTATTATTATTTAAATATGATTTACACAATAAACTATTTACATATAGTGTAACTGATTACTAAAATATACAAATATACAACACATTGCCAATCATGAATAAAAATGCTGGAATGAATACATATGATATGCTGGAAACCAACATAATGTAAAAAAAATAAATAAAAATAAGGCATTCTTGCTGCACTATTATATAATTAAATTGCATACACATAATTACAATATTATTGCACTGGGTTGTTTGTAGCATTAAGTACCTGTACTTGGCAGATAAAATTACAATCACTAAAAAACATTTTTTAAGTGTATACAGCTAATTAGAAGATTATTAAAATTTCATTAGGATATCATTATTTAACTTTAAAGCCAAATGCCAATATTTGGCCTATGAAATTACAATCACTAAAAATATCTTATGTATATACAGCTAATTAGGACATTATTAAAAAATCATTGTGATATTATTATTTAACTTTAAAGCCAAGCGCCTATACAGTATTTTGCTGATTAAATTACAATCACTAAAAAACATTTTTTTATGTATATACATAAAAAATTTTTAACTTTAAAGCCAAGCGCCTATACAGTATTTTGCTGATTAAATTACAATCACTAAAAAACATTTTTTTATATATATATACAGATAATTAGGACATTATTAAAAATTCGTTATGAGATTATTATTTAACTTGAAGCCTTGTTTACCTATACTTGGCTGATTAAATTACAATTACTAAAAAAATGTTTATGTATATACAGCTACAGTAATTAGGAGATTGTTAAAATTTCATTAGGATATCATAATTTAACTTTAAAGTGCCTATTGGCTGATGAAATTACAATCACTAAAAACATTTTGTGTGTATATACAGCTAATTAGGACATTATTAAAAAATCATTGTGATATTATTTTTTAACTTTAAAGCCAAGTGCCTTTACATTATTTGGCTGATTAAATTACAATCACATTTTTTTATGTATATACAGCTAAAAAGGCATTCTTGCTGCACTAGTAAATAATTAAATTGTATACACATAATTGCAATATTATTGTATTGGGTTGTTTGTAACATTAAGTACCTGTACTTGGTAGATTTAATTACAATCACTAAAAAACATTTTTTATGTGTATACAGCTAATTAGAAGATTATTAAAATTTCATTAGGATACCATTATTTAACTTTAAAGCCAAATGCAAATATTTTGCCTATGAAATTAGGACATTATTAAAAATTCATTATAAGATTATTATTTAACTTGAAGCAAAGTGTACCTGTACTAATGGAAAGGTAGAATATAGGGTGGTTATGCCTCCTTATATTAAAATATTCCAAACTGTATCTCTTAAAAACTTTTTTTGTGTCTTAGAAAAATCAGTACTACAAACAATGATGCGGAAACGTTGAGTTAGACAGTAGAACACAATAAATTATATTGTGTTCTACTGTCTAACTCAACGTTTCCGCATCATTATACAGTAAATAAGACAGAAAATAATGATGCGGAAACGTTGAGTTAGACAGTAGAACACAATAAATTATATTGTGTAAATTATATATATATTCCTCAGGCTTTTTATGATCGCAATATATTCCGACAAACAAAGAATAACACTATCATTGGTTGGTTGTAGCACAGATTACCCATAATAGGTTGATTTTAATCACAATCATTAAATATAATTATATGTATACAATTTAGGAGGTTATTATTAGTTCATTAGGAGATTAATATTTAACTAATCTCAATATTTTGAGACAAATGCAAAATAGCACATAAAAAATATCGTACAGTAGTTGGTTGTGTGTAGCACTGTGTACTCACGATTGTTTGATTAAATTACACACACACTAAATATATTTTTTATGTATACAACTAATTAGGAGGTAACCTGAATTAATTCAATGTATTGTGACAAACACAAAATACTAAATAGCATAATCATTATGGTTAATTCGACTACAAAAAAAAATCAGTCACCAGTGTCAATACTATTTTACAAACAATTTAACAAATTTGTAATAATTAACTGTACTGTACTTCTAGTATACTAATAAAGTATTTCATGGCATACAAGTCATGTTTTGTGTGTTTCTTCAACATATTTTTTTTTCGATATTTTTTTTAATTATTGGTTTTTGTGGCTAGCACCATCAATTGTAACATTTTTCTATGGTTTTAATTTAAAGTGGGTAATTATGTGAATATAATAAAGGATGAAATGTAATGTCAGTTACCATGGAATTACCCAATATATAGCATATGATGTAATTAGAAAAACAAAATACTGTAGTGATGGTTTGTAGCACCCATTAAATTGACTGATTAAATCACTTCTTGCAATATTTTCATGTCATGGGTGTATGCAAGGGGGGTCGGGAAGGTCGTACGACCCCCAAAAATTTCAAAGGTTCGCATTTTTTCCAGACATTTTCTTCTAGGGGCTTTTCACAATGACATAAATAAAAAATCATTGATGAGGTACCAACAATGAGTCCAAAAACTTTGCCAATTGTGCAACATACTGTAATCTATCTCAATTCCATAAATTTTTTAACTGAGCCTGCCATCTGCTTCAAGCAAATTGTATTGATATTTTAATCACATCTTGCTGTTATTTCATTATCAAAAGGTCCAAAAAAATATGATCACGACCCACCCAGAAAAAATCCTCGATACACAACTGCATGTATTAGGAAGTTATTAAAATTTCACTAAGATATTTCATACTTATAGTTAACTTTTTCCTAATAATTATTGTCGATGGAGGGCAACCCAGATACTCAACATGAAATTAAACATTTCTAATTAAACACACAAAAAAAAAAATCATACATCTTAAACAAAATTTTGAAGGAAATGAAACTTCAGAAAACAATAGTGTAGAAAGTGCTATATATTAAAAAGTCTATTGAGTGAAAGTAGATAAACTTTATTTCAAGTAAACAGCTTTAAGTTATTTGTGATGACATTGTTTACTGGAATTAACTACAAAATAATGTTAAATAATTGTTTGTTAACGATTCATAGAACTATACATTTAAGACATGATTGACTGATAGCAAGCTATATGTTCAATGATTACTGTGAACAAAACAATGTTTTTAGTCCAACATACACGAAATGTCATCAAATACACATTTAACAAATACTGGGGAACACTCAAGAGTTCACGCACAGTTGAATCCATCCTTTCATTTTCCCTTTCATAAATTTAAGTCTGCTGCAAATAGGAAAAACAAAACACCAGAGCCTTGCAGGCGTCAACGTTCCTATGCATGACACACGACTTTTAGAAGTATATATACGTGTATATATATATATATATATATATATATGTATATATATATACATATATGTGTATATATACGTATATATATTATATTTATATATATATACATACATATATATTGATATATATATATATATACATATACGTAAATATATACATATGTATGTATATATATATGTTTATGTGTGTGTATATATGTATATATATAAGTATGTATATATAAATATATATACGTATATATAAGTATGTATATGTATATATATAAGTATGTATATATATAATATATATAAGTATGTATATATATTATAATACATATATGTATGTATATATATATAGGCCTATATAAGTATATATGTAAGTATGTGTATATATGTATATATATAAGTATGTATATATGTATATATATATGTATATATATGTGTATGTATATATATGTATATATATGTATATATAAGTATGTATATATATAAGTATGTATATGTGTGTATATAGATGTGTATATATGTAGATATATAAGTATGTATATATAAGTATGTATATATATATAAGTATGTATATTATGTATATATATATACGTATATGTCTATATATTATGTATATATATGTGTATATATATATAAGTATGTATATATGTATATGTGTGTATATATACATAAGTATGTATATATGTTAATCACCATCCATTCACAGTAAAGGTAAAAGTAAAGGTAGCCAAACATGTTCAGGTGCGAAATGCCCGTCCCTCTTTCTTAAGCATTGGGGCCAGACTGTGCAGGGCTTTGAGGGGATTGCCGCTTTTCTTCACATCAATTACTGTCTCTTATACACATCTAGACGATGTATTTCAGCAAGTATTAAAACATTTTAGTTTTATTTTAGGCCTTCTTCAAAATACCTATGCCTACAGCAGATGATTTTTTTGCCGTAAAACCAAAATAGTTTCATCCA